GAGGGGCTTGGGGGTCCCTGAAAATTTTTAAATCAAAATGGGGGTCCTCAGGTTGCTAAAGTTTGAGAACTGTTGAGCTGGATAAAATATTGCAAGATTAAGGCCGGTGAAGATGATCAGTAATTCTCACCTGCACTGGGCTTGGGAACATCTCCACAGCTGGAGTAGCTTCTGGCTTGCGTTGGTCACCCACTTACCTTTTCTATCCTGATCTCCTGCTCCCCAGGAAGCCTGTTACCACACACAGCTGAATTTCATAATACTCTGGATGGCTGGACAGTTATGCACTAGGGAGAGAATTCCCCTCTTTTCCAATGATCTGGCAGAAAACCCAGTCACTCCTCAGGGAAGTTGTTATGCTACTCTTCCAGCTCACATGCTTTTTAATACTAAGCAACCTCTCCACCCCCCTCCAACCTCGCCTAACCCAAATACTCTAAATCTTTCAAGACCTGGCTAATACAAAACTGCATGGTGGGGTACATATGCCTCTCTGGAAAAGTTTGTGAATTGTATTGAAACTAGGTGTGGTGGGGTGTCTGCCCCACCCCCATGCTAGAGGGGGCCGCAGCAGTCCAGTGCACCTGTGCAGCCCGGCAGCCAATAAGAGAAGGGCTTATTGGGAGCCAATCAGGGCCAGGCTAAGCACTATAAAAAGTCTGCTCAGGGAGCAAGCAGTCAGTCTGTCCCAGACCTTGGGGGAGGAGGGTCTGTCTCCTGAGCAGGAGACCAGCACAGCACAGCGCAGCGCAGCGCAGGGCAGCGCAGCGCAGGGCAGGCTCAGGGAAGCAGAGTGGAGCTTCAGCCTGATACCTGCCAGATTGTCAGCCCTGAGTAGAAGGGCCTAGAGGGTGCAATGGGGTAAGAGGGGAAGTGACCCAGGGAAGGCTGAAGGCAAGGGGAGAGAAGGAGGGCCAAGAGGCTGCCGTTAGAGGGTCCCTGGGTCGGGACCCAGAGTAGCGGGTGGGCCTGGGTCTCCCCCCCCCCTTTCCCCTTGTGCTGCACCGGGCTGTGGAGCAGTGGCCGAGTCAGGCTGCAACCTGCTCCCTGACCTAAGGGGGGCTAGATTTGGGGGTTGTAGCAGGCCACTGAGGCCAGTGCAAAGACTCCTGTTACCCCCTCCCTGGAAGGGGGTGTGGATGGACTAAGGGGCACTGCTGGAGGGTAGTCCTCTGGAAGAGGACGCCGCAAGCCGGAGAGCCACGTGGGTCCACACGCCAACCGAGGGCGAGACAACGGATGGGACACCACCAGGAGGGGGCGCTCCACTGGACAGAGCTAATTCCCGAGACAACCAGTAGGAGGTGCCAGGGGGTGAGTCCCAACCCCGTCACACTAGGCATGAAACCACATGGTATCAGAGCAGCTGAGATTGGAAGTGTCAACGAGGATGACACTGTCCAGCATTGCAAAAGGGGAACATGCATGTAAATAAGAAAGCAACCAACTAAGGGACCTGATTTTACTGTTTTTACAGCAGTGGGATAAATTCTCCTACCATTTACACGTGTGTAAATGCAAGGTACTTAATCTCATTTACTCCAGATTTGCCCTGGTGTAACAGAGGACAATTTGGCACAGTGTATCTCCACGGACTTCCAGGAAGTTACTCCTGATTTATAACATGTTTAACCAGAGCAGAATCAGGCTCATTAAATCCCTAATTCATGACATGGTTTAAGGTTGATCATGTTGGCTATTCACAAGCAGTTCTTGAGATTTCTAGCCTGTCAAAAGCAGTAACGAAATCATTCCATTCACCAATCCCAGTTCAGACATGTGATTGCTTGTTTTTTTATTTCAATTTAAAAAAAAAATACAGCAAAAAATGTTGCTACATATAAATGGGATCAAAGTTATAAAATGATCCAAGCAAAAACATTATGAAAATACATTAAGCAGTCCCTGCAAAATTTTATGTTAATAAACAGACATTATAATCACTTTGTTGCTTTTACCTTGTGCAAATATAGAGTATGTTGATATGGCAAGCAAAGAAGATGTGCAACTTTTTAACACCTGGGTGTCTCATTCTCACAGTGCTTATCTGGATAGAAGAGATAATTCCCATCGTAGCTGCTGAGGTGTTTCTTCAAGCAGAGCACAAAGGCACTGTCACACTGGCAGCTCGCCCATTGGCACCAGCTCTCGAAGCCTGCCGACAAACAGTAACAGGATGCGTGTTTGAGAGGAGGGCCTTGGGGAGAAGGAGAGGCTGGCAACGCTGGCTGCTGAGACGGTGATGGGGCCACATAAGAGTATGTCTACACTGTAATCCCAGGATGTGACATACTCAAACTAGCTTTAATCTAGCTAGTTGGGATCCTGAAGTGAAACCATGGTAGTGTCACTTCAGCATGGGCCAACCCAAGAACCCTAATTACTTGCAGGGCAGCTTGCACGGAAGCGCACATTGCTGTGACTTCACTGTTATCACTACTGGAGCTAGCTAGATAACTGCTAGCTCAGGTATGTCTACATGAGCTACAATCTCACCCTGTGATTGCAGTGTAGTCATACCCCAAGAGAGCACATGCTGACACCTAGGAGCTGGTCTACAATGTGAAAGTCCATCATGTTATAACTTGTGGCAGGAGGGTAACGGATGCAGCGTTAAACATGGCATAGTACTCACCGTAGACAGGGACTGTCGGGTTTAACATCGTGTCAATTACCTTGATCCCACAGGGGTACGCTCTAACGCAATGGAATTTCCCAGTTAGACAAGTCCCTCGGGAGTAGCCCTCAGCCCAGCATCCAGCTTCCTAGTTTAGGGCAGTGGTCTCCAAAGTAGGGTGCACACAACCCAGGGGGTGCGCAAGAGGATCCTTGGGGGTGCGCGGCAGGAGGAGCGCCGCTGGAGCGCCGCTGGAGCAGTACCGCTGGAGCAGTGCCGCTTCGGCAGTTCGGGCGGGAGTCCGAGCGACCTTTTTTTTTTGCGCTTGGGGCGGCAAAAATGGTAGAGCCAGCCCTGCGGCGCGGCGGGGGGTGCGTGCTCAAAATTTTTTCACTGATAGGAGTGCGCGATCAAAAAGGTTTGGAGACCACCGGTTTAGTGGATTGAGACGCATGCACAGGGATGTGACTGATAAAGCAGCAAACTATCATGACACGCAGACGTAGCCCCACTTCCAGAACATGGGTAAGACAGCTGTGTTCAAACCTTCAGCCAGCCAGCACGTTTCCTCCACATTGTAAAAACCAAGTTCCGTCTCTAAATTGCCTGCCCTCTGG